TTTTTCTTTCCGCGCCGCCCGGTGTAACAGGGTGATCTTGCTTTTGCATAGCTTTGCATCTTTGCGCGCCGCCCGGTGTGACAGGGTGATGTTTGTTTTGTTTTCGCTTGCTCGCGCCGCCCGGTGTGACAGGGTGATGTTTGTTTTGTTTTTGCTTGCTCGCGCCGCCCGGTGTGACAGGGTGATCTTGCTTTTGCATAGCTTTGCATCTTTGCGCGCCGCCCGGTGTGACAGGGTGATGTGTGTTCTCTTTTTGCTTGCTCGCGCCGCCCGGTGTGACAGGGTGATGTTTTTTTTTAGCCTATTTTGTTAGCTGTGCTCAGTGTGACATTGTAATGTTGGATTTGCTTGCTATCGCATCGCCTGGAGTGGCAGTGTGATGTTCTTTGCACGAGCTGACATTCTGGAGGAGCACTGGAAATGAAAGTGATAAGTCCAAACACTGTTTTTTACTTACGTTATCCGTCTAAAGGGATGCCATGGCTTTTTTTTGTCAGTCCTCAGTAAAGATCTTCCTTAGAGGTATCAACCGCGCCAATGCACACTTTGGATTTGGATTCGGTATTTTTCACATTAAGCTACTACAGTCAAAGGTTGAGGCTGTGAAGATAAGTTCTCCTTGTGATGATAGGTCCAGTGGTGAATATGAAAGTACTACTACGGCGGATTTACTACCCACTATGCAGCGTCTTTCGGAGCCAACAAAATAGATTGTAAGGTTCTTCAAAGGGATAATGTAACTTTGCCTTTTCAATGTTTACTATAAGTGTTTTTCAGCTATGTCCCTTACTTGGCTCAAGTTGGATGACATGGAGCGTTTGTTTGGCCGCCAGTGCCATACTTTGTAGAGTCTGAGCCAGTAGGAGAATTAGAGCAGCTAGCCTTGACTTCATTGGTTAAGAATTATTCAGATAGAAATTATATGTTCACCAGAGCAAGTGAGTTTGGTAAAGCGGAGCTAGCACGCTGCAAACGGAGTTAAGGTAGAGAGAATGCCCACGCCTAAGGAGCCAGGATGCAAGGGAGCGTGTGGGGAGCGGAGCGCGTGGGGAGCGGAGCGCGTGGGAGCGGAGCGCGTGGGAGCGGAGCGCGTGGGAGCGGAGCGTGTGGGGAGCGGAGCATGTGGGGAGCGGAGCATGTGGGGAGCGGAGGTGTGGTGAGCGGAGAGTGTGGGCAACGGAGTGCGTGGGGGCGGAGCAATCGGGTAGTGGAGCGCCAGGTATGATGAGGAGCTGCTAAACCATAACTCTGTCACGTAGAAAAAGAAGCGCACATGGCTAGACGGGCGCGGTGGACAATTGGGTCCGGCGATGGCTCTATTTCATCTATATGAGATGCAAGTCGAAAATCATTGGATTCTAGAAGTATGCAATCGCCAAACTCCGGAACACTGATGATGTAAATGCTGGACTTTAAACAGCATGCAAATATGTAAGCAGTGAAGGCTGATTCGAGCAGGGCCTTAGTGACACTGTAATTAAAGCGCACGGGTTGAACTTAACTATTAATATGTCTCGTGCAGCGCATTCTGGCTCGTTTGCCCGCTCGATCTGGTCATTTGCTCGTTTTGCATCGCGTGGGGCCCATGGCGGAAGGGTGTTTGAACGGTTCATCATGCAAGACGAGAGACTTGGCTAAAAATATCTTTTTAAGTATGTATGACATACAAAATTGCCTTGCTCTTTGCGCATCCTCCTAAGGTGTGGCCTCAATCTTTGACCCTATTGGTGAACGCGCTCACAGTTCGGGCGAAATTGCTCTTGGCCGCTTCTTCGTGAACTGGTTCAGCTGTCAGTGCTTCTTGTTAGCAGTGATCTTCACCCGATAGGTCTGAAATCTGCCACTGTAAGTACATCGGCTGGACACTGGACAGGTTGTAAGAGGTCCGATGATTTTGGTTCGCTTTCAGGCCCGGCCTGGGGTTTTGCCATGTATCAAGCGACGGAGCATATCTAACAAGTTGACTTTCACTTTGCTGTGGCAGGCCCTTTCACTGATGTTGATTGCGATTGGCTGCGGCAAGGCGAAGTGCAACGCATTTAAACTATACGGGTGATGCTGTACATTGATTCTTGCCTAGGACTGCTCTTGCCTTCTCTGTTTCGCCTGGATCTGGACGAATATAATGGAGTATGGTGTGCGCCGACAGAATTGGCATTTAGTTTAAAATTGTTCTAACTTTTTGTACTGCACTGAAGCACAAACATGTTGCACAGGTTGTAAGTGGTCTGATGATTTTGCTATGCCTTCAGGCCTTTGATTTCGCATTATCAATGAAAAGGAACGAATTTGCCAACCCGATTTTGTTGCGACAGGCCCTTTCACTGACACTGATTCTGGGTGGTCGAAGCCAGGAGAAGTTTACATGGTTTCGAGGAATAAAAGATGTGAAGCTGCAGAATGG